TTTCGAAGCAATTTGCGTCGATTGCGCAGTTCGACGAGTACAGTGTCCGCAGCTTGGAGCGTAAGTCAGTCTCATTCTGCAAATATTCTCCAGCTCCTTGACATCCGCGGCGACGAGCCACTTGCCACATTCAGACATATTCGCACGCGTGTTCGCACCGAATGCGTGCGCAAAGCGGGAAGCCTCCCTTGATATTGCCCTTGTCTAAGAGGCAAAGTTGACGCCATCGCGAGCACGGCCGGCCTTGCGCCTACTCGGATCGATACAAGATGTGGCTAGACACGAGTCAGAGAGCTTTATTCAGCCTCAGGTGAGGTTCTCGCATCCAGCCTGGACGTAGCACGTGCCCCGAGCATACTTCCCGAAGGCCTTCGTCTGATCTTGCAACCGTGAACCCTCCCAATTCTGACACACAATAACCAGCCGCCCCCCAGACACGTCATTCCAAGGCTCGGCTTTGCCTCTTCAGCTTCGCCCATTGACTTCAATCGGGCTTTTCATGGTCCCCCCAATGCCGTGCCGGCCTCCTCCACATGCCGCACAAGGTGTCGCCTGGAAAGAATTTTGACGTCCTGCGAGCGCTCCTCGGCCCCTGAACCGATAACATCGGCAAAGTTCTGACTTGAGGTCATAGCATTGAGTTGCGGGAGGCCCCTTTTACCCCAGGCCGCCGATCACACTCGCGAGCACCATCCTCTCTGCAACAAAAATCCCGTAGAGTGGAGGTTTCAAACAAGTGAGAAAGACGGTGAGGAGAGCGTTGGGATCGTGCTAGGGCGGAGGATCGCGGAGTTGGCAGACTTCCACCAACCAACGCGACCGATTCCGAGGGCTCCAGCCACTTTGCTGCTGCGGCCTCGCCGACGAATTTTGAAAATCTTGCTCGGACGACCCCGCCGTTGGGAGCTCCGAGGCAGGTCCCCGTACGCGCGCGGGAGGAGGTTGAAGACGGAGCCGAGCGCCGGGAACCCACTTGGGAACACGTCGCGAACTGCGCCGCAGCAGCCAGCGGCAGAGGCTTAGAATTATTCTGGGCGTCCGAACACCGATAGATAGAATCTGACAGGAGCCGCAAGCGATGAACGCGGCATAGGGCTTCCTTCGACTATCGAGGTTGGAGGCCTTCGTCTTAAGTCTGTGGTCGGGAAGGTGACCGATGCTGGACCCGGGCCGCAGTTGAACGCTGGCAGTCCGAGTCAGCGCCCTCAACATCGGTTCTCAAGGACCCGGTATCCGCCCCTCCGGAGGTGGCATACTGGAGACAACAGACGCGGGCGGGTTGGCTGATAGGGCACGACTGACTGCAGAGCTGACGAGACCCAGTCTTCGGACTCATGTACATGCGTACAGTCAGCGCTTAGGCGGGTACATGACAGTACATGCAAGGACGGCGTTGGGGCTGGTGGCTTATGGCTGAAGATGAGCGCCGGAACTGGCCGCAACCGCGCGAAAGGCAAGCGAAAGGAAATGGCAAGCGTTTGCTGGCCTGGGGCGAACGTCTTTGTCTCGTCGTGAGATTGTTGCTAGCGCCAGTCAGGGTCTCGGTTTTTGCTGCCGTCTGCCGCCAGAATTACTATTGGACTCTGTTTGTGCTTGTGCTTTGCCATGGCGCCGCACGATTCGATGGGAGCAAGGCGAGGCGTGGGTGGATGCACCGCCTCAGCCCCAGTCGATCAGCCCCAGCCCAATTTTACTATTTTTGGGCCTTTTCTCCTGACGAATCGCAGCGGGCGGGACCCCGTATCCGTGAGGAGGGAAGGGAAAAGTTGGTCTTCGTACACTTGGACGAACGCGACATGCAGGTCATTGGTGACGACAGTGCCACTGCGAAGGCGAAGACGAAGGAGAGAAGACCGAGCAGATCATACGGCGAGTACGTATGCTCGCGACGTTTGCGAAAGAAAAGCTCGGATGGAATCCAGCGTTTTGTTGTTGCTGCTGCGACGCATTGTGCGGCGAATGGCAGCGAACGGGGTTGTCGTTGCCGCGGCGAGGGTCGCCAAAAGGAAGAGCTGGAAACAGAGGAGAAATGGCATTACGATGATGGACAGGTTTCGAGACATCGGGCTGAACAAATGGGGAATCTGGGCCGGGTGGTGGAAACAAGTTGCAAGACAGCCGGCAACGGGTTCCAGGCTGGAGTCCTGGACGACGTCGGACCACTGACGAGTGAGAAGTGAGATTTGCTTCTCCAGGCAGGATATTTCGACAAGCAACAGCCAGGCCGGACTGTAATAAGGTAATTTTGATGCTTGATGGGAGGGGGGAACCTCGTGCCTCCAAGTCGCGAGTCTTGCCAATGTTGATGCCGAGAGGGACTTGCATGAGTGGTAAGCTGGAAGTTGAGGCAGGTACTTTGCGGTGACTGCTGCCCTGAGGTGGATGACGGATCAGCTCCAGAAAGCCAAGTCTCTGGTTAGGGCGAGGGATGGCGTTTCAGAGTCTTCGTCGAAGCCGCACGATCCCGGAAAAAGAGCGGGGCGTTAGCAAGTACACGCGTCTCACTTAGATGCGGAGGGTCACACCCGCGGTCGTACTAACAGCTCAATGTCGTTTCTTAAATGCATCCCGTCTTATTCAGGGTCTGCCTCTCGTGCCTCTGCCTCGCTGCGCTCACCAATCTTGTCGCTCGTTCTGGCGCCATCCTTCCTGTCTGAAGTTGGGGGGTTTCGCTCAGGAACAAAGAGGCACAGCGGTTCCTTAGGAATGCTTGTCAGCCAGCGTGCAGACAGCCGGGTTCTGGCCATCCGTCAGCTTCCTGAAGGCTGAATGACCGGGGAGCTGCGGTTCTGCGGAAGATGGGTACCCCACGCTGTGTTGATGCCTGTCCATAGCGTGCTGAGTGCGAACGACCAAAAGATGAGATGGAGGGGAATTTCGAGGCTTTGAGAAGAAACAGACGTTTGCCGAAGCCGAACCGAACCAAGCTACCAGCAGCTGCGTATCCAGAGTTAAACCGCGGACTCCCGCAGCACCTGCGAGCCATGGTGGCCAATAATGGCCAATGGCAGCCAAGGATGATGGCTGATGCTCGTGGTGGCACGACGTATGCCGACGAAAGGGACGGCGTTCTTTTTAGCTTTGCTCTCTCCTTTTCCTCGCGGCATGGAGCGTGACACTTGTAACTCTCCACCTCCATCCGTGGCGATCGAGGACGAGCGCTGTCTGTAGTTGGTGTCGATGCTGCAGCTGGCTGCCTCGCCTTCTGTGTTCGCCGTTACATCCCCCCTAACCCCCTATCGCAGGGCATTGTGTGGGCGACTGGGCATTAATTGCCAGGTATTTGCCAGGTGTTTCTGGAGCAGATCCCATCCTCAAATGGACCGATTGAAGGTGCAAGACCAAGGGGTACGCGAGATGCAAGGGCCAAGGGAGCAGCGACCGGGGGTTTCGTCTGCGAGAGGCGTGACGTAGTTGGTCCTGGTTCCGGACCCGTTTTTATTTTTTTTCTCTGTGCTTGACTGCCGTGTCCTGGTATTTTGACTGGCTGGACTGGCCGACGGCTCGCGCAAAGAGCATATGCAAGTATGGTGTTCAGGAGGGCAGCCGAGGGGCAACCAGCAGCTTGCTTGTTTCTCTTTATTGTAGACAGTCGACGGCAGCTGGAGAAACGGCAGGAAATGCAGAAAAAGGGGACGACGGGGTTGGCAACGGTCCACGGCATTGGCTCCCCTGACAGCAACATGCTGGCAGCGTGGGTTGTGAGGATCTGAGGTGAAGGATGACGGCCGGCCAGGACCACCCGCTGGCCTGGGAACGAGCGAGCGACGTGTGCCAGCCTGTCCCAGGCAGTCCGTCTGGTGTCTGTCACTAATTAGGTAGGTAAGGTAGGCACTGACTTTTCTGCTGATGTCTGATTTCGGGTGTGTCTGTTGTCTGCAGGCAGTGCAGCACCGGGAAGGCTGGTCGGAAATCTTGGTCGGCTCGTGCTGTTTTCCAAGGCCAATGGACCCTGTCGATGATGTTCAGGTGCTCTCTGGTGTGCATCTTCGGGTGGTATTGGTGGTATTGTCTTGTTCATCGTGCATCAGCAGGGCCAGCGCGATGCCTGGTGCTGAGCAGCGCTAAGCCACAGCTTCCCCGGTTTGTGTTGACGTGAGGTGAGCGTCTACCGCACGACTAGTCGGTCTCCATCCGCAGGTGGGTGAGGTACTGCGGTACGACGGATGGGGCGGTGGACACCGGCTGAAGCGAGGTACCTCGACGAGGTTGCCAAGTATCTTTTCTGCGGGGAGGGGATGCACGAGTGACTTCTCCTATTCCATCTCATGTACCTGCGAAGAGGTACTGGGCAGTCGCGAAGATGGGAGGCAGTTGCCGGGACAGTACTCCAGTTTCCAGGAGCTGCTGCTCACCCTTCACCGTCACCGCGGTTTGGCCTGTTGCTTGCTGCTGCTCGCACACAGAGACAGAGGGCTACAAGAGAGAGCAAAAAAAAAGAAGTCCACGCTCAGCCCAGTCGGGCCAATCCCAATGCTATTCTGATCCATCATCCAAGCCATCCTCCACTGGACGCCGCTTCCACTCGCGCGCTCCCACTGGGCTGTCCACCTTCTTTGCTGCCCACCACAAAACTTCCAGTCCTGAGGTGTCCCTCCCATCCCATCAGCAACGCCGCCAGCCCGTGGGACCCTTTTTTAACCATTTGCTGCCCCGTCCTACATCACTATCTTCTCCCCTTCTACTCCTCTTGCCCCCCCAGCCCTTCCATCAATCTCATCCTTCTTTTACCCTTCGGTTCACCATTCGCTACCGGGGTTGTGGCTTTCACGGCCGCACATCTCCTACATAACCTACAGGGCCTTTGTGACCGCATACCCGTCACTCCTCAAAACTCCTGTTCCGTCCCCCATCCTACCTGGGTGTTTACTTCCTGCTTCCTGAAAAGGAACATTATCGACCCTTCCTAATTCGACCACCGCCAAAGGCGAAACTCCCTTTCCGCCTACCGCCAACATCACAAACAGCTCTCGCAGCTTCTGAGTTCACCCGCAGCAAACATGGCGTACCGCGGGGGGAACGGCGGGAACGATTATGATGCCCATGACGGCCACAACATGCAGGACCTTCCTGCTGGCTCTGGCAGAGTAAGCTTCACACTCCTCTCTGGCGCCTGCCCTCACCTTGAGTCCTTTCGCTAACATTCCTGCTCTCCAGTACCACATCCCTCCCCAAGACGAAGGTGTCGACGATGCCGGTCAGTCTCTTCTGAGAGACCCTCACGCCCCAGCTCCCTATGAGAGCCACCTGGGACCTGCCGAGACTCCTGGCCGCCCGGTTTCCGCATACTCTCTCACAGAATCATACGCTCCTGGCGCTGGCTCCCGGACACCAGTTCCTGGCGAAGCTGCCTTTTCTACTGGCTACCGCTCCGAGCTCGACTCCGACAATGGCGGCTTCGGATATGGCCGTCCCGCCTCGACTGTCGGCGATGTCGAGGACAGCTGGGTCCGCAGACAGCAGCCCGGTGGCCCCGGTGGTGGTCTGAAGCGTTACGCGACCCGTAAGATCAAGCTTACTCAGGGCTCCGTCCTGAGCATTGACTACCCCGTCCCCAGTGCCATCAAGAACGCTGTTCAGCCCAAGTACCGCGATGTCGAGGGCGGCAGCGATGAATTCCACAAGATGCGCTACACCGCCGCTACTTGCGATCCTAACGACTTCACCCTCAAGAATGGTTACGATCTGCGTCCCAGAATGTATAACCGACACACTGAGCTGCTCATTGCCGTCACATACTACAACGAAGACAAGGTCCTCTTATCGCGTACCCTCCACGGTGTCATGCAGAACATTCGCGACATCGTAAACCTCAAGAAGTCTACTTTCTGGAACAAGGGCGGTCCCGCCTGGCAGAAGATCGTCGTCGCCCTGGTTTTCGACGGTCTCGACAAGACTGACAAGAACGTGCTGGACGTCCTGGCCACCATTGGTGTCTACCAGGATGGTGTCGTGAAGAAGGATGTCGACGGCAAGGAGACGGTGGCCCACATCTTCGAGTACACCACCCAGCTGTCCGTCACCCCCAACCAACAGCTCATCCGCCCGGTTGACGATGGCCCATCAACTCTCCCGCCTGTTCAGTTCATTTTCTGTCTGAAGCAGAAGAATACCAAGAAGATCAACTCCCACAGATGGCTTTTCAACGCCTTCGGTCGCATCCTGAACCCCGAAGTCTGCATCCTCATCGACGCTGGTACCAAGCCCAGTCCCCGATCGCTGCTCGCTTTGTGGGAGGGATTCTACAACGACAAGGATCTCGGCGGTGCTTGCGGTGAGATCCACGCAATGTTAGGCAAGGTTCGTGCCGTTTTCCCTCGTTGTCGTTGTTTTTGTTGTTTTTGTTGTTTCCCTCGTTTCCCGCGTATTTGAAGTGTATATGAGGTATACTAACCACCGAGTGAAGGGCGGCAAGAAGCTGCTTAACCCCCTCGTGGCGGTCCAGAACTTCGAGTACAAGATCTCCAATATTCTGGACAAGCCCCTCGAGTCCTCCTTCGGATACGTCTCCGTGTTGCCCGGTGCTTTCTCCGCCTACCGCTTCCGTGCGATTATGGGTCGCCCGTTGGAGCAGTACTTCCATGGTGACCACACTCTTTCCAAGATCCTCGGAAAGAAGGGTATCGATGGAATGAACATTTTCAAGAAGAACATGTTCTTGGCTGAGGATCGTATTCTCTGCTTCGAACTGGTCGCCAAGGCTGGCCAGAAGTGGCATTTGTCCTACATCAAGGCTGCCAAGGGTGAGACTGATGTTCCCGAGGGTGCTCCCGAGTTCATCTCCCAGCGTCGTCGTTGGCTCAACGGTTCCTTCGCTGCCTCCCTCTACTCGCTCATGCACTTCGGTCGCATGTACAAGTCCGGCCACAACATCATCCGCATGTTCTTCTTCCACGTCCAACTCATCTACAACATCCTCCAGGTCATGTTCACATGGTTCAGTTTGGGTTCCTACTACCTGACTACGACGGTTATTATGGATCTCGTCGGCAACCCGGTCACTTCCGACGACGAGAGTCAGGTGCGCCACGGCTGGCCCTTTGGCGACACCGCGACACCCATCTTCAACGCCCTGCTCAAGTACCTCTACCTCGCCTTCGTTATCCTGCAGTTCATTCTCGCTCTGGGTAACAGACCAAAGGGTTCTAAGTACACGTACATTGCCTCGTTCATTGTCTTCGGTCTTATCCAGTCTTACATCCTGATTCTCTCGGCATACCTGGTCGTGCAAGCGTTCCAGAAGCCCATCAGCGAGCAGATCAGCTTGGACTCTGGCGCAGACTTTGTTGCTAGTTTCTTCGGAGGTACGAACGCTGCCGGTGTTATTCTTGTCGCCTTGGTTACTATCTACGGTCTTAACTTCATCGCATCCTTCATGTACCTCGACCCCTGGCACATGTTTACCTCGTTCCCTCACTACCTGGTGCTCATGTCGACCTACATCAACATTCTCATGGTCTACGCCTTCAACAACTGGCACGATGTGTCCTGGGGTACCAAGGGTTCAGACAAGGCCGAGGCGCTTCCTTCAGCCCAGGTCAGCAAGGGCGAGAAGGACGAAGCCGTTGTGGAGGAAATCGACAAGCCACAGGAGGATATTGACAGTCAGTTCGAATCGACTGTCAAGCGTGCTCTGGAGCCATTCAAGGAGGAAGAGGAAGTCGAGAAGCCCGATGTCGAGGACTCGTACAAGTCTTTCCGTACTGGTCTGGTCGTTTCTTGGCTCTTCTCCAACACCTTCCTGATCATCATCATCACGAGTGATAACTTCAACTCGTTCGGCATTGGCGTAAGTCCCCGTTTTATTCGGCGTCACACGGAATCTGAGCTAACTTTGCGCAGAAATCCGCGTCCGCACGTACTGCCTCCTACTTCAGCTTCTTGCTGTACTCCACCGCTGTGCTCTCCCTGGTCCGTTTCTTCGGTTTCCTGTGGTTCTTGGGCAAGACTGGTATCATGTGCTGCTTCTCCAGACGGTGATCGGCTCATGGTGCGGTGTTCAGGCGGGTTGCCGACGCTGCGGCGTCGTTGTATGGTTACCGGAGGGAAGACTGTACTCTTGCCATCTTTGGCCCATTTTCAGACATCCGTCGATGTTTGCATTCAGGGTATGTGTTTTTAGTAATAAAGGGCACGGGACTCGACAGATTCTTCATGAAATGGCCGAAAGGGTCAGTAAAAGTAGTATTTGAGTAGTAGCATTCCGGGCGTTTTTACATGACTCGACCATCCTATTCCACGAAATGAATATGATTTTATAAGAGAACACCTACTTCTACTGTGCTAGAGTGACTACTTTTCCTGTGTGCTCGCCGTCGTTGCTATTGTCGTCGTCATTACCGTTGTCGTCCGCTGTCGTCGTCTCTCTGTGACTTGAATTTGTCCTTGAACGAAGCAAAGTTTCAAACCGCTGGGTTTTGAGTACATACGAAATAAACCTACGCAGACATAAAAATATCAGGCGGTCTCTTATACAAGACCACATCTCTCGACTTTCTAATGGAACATTGACAGCATGACTGTGAAATGACTGAATTACACCGGATTGCCAGTCACCTGACTAGGTATTAGTTGTTGGTTGCAAGCGCTCAGATGAAGAAAGAACCTTGTTGGTTCCTTCCGTCAGCCAACAGGCGGCAAGACAAAGAAAGCGGGCCCGGTAGAACCCCGGTTAAAAGCAGCTGCCTATCTTATCGCGAAGTTAGGTGACCGCATTGACTGGTGCCCAGTTGGCCCGCCCAAGTTCTTCTGCTGTGGCAAGCCATATTCGCGACACCCTTACGGAAACAACCACTCTTTTGCTACGGAGAAATCCAGACCACGCGAATCTCTCTAGACGACTGAGAGCCTACTTAAGGTCTGCGATACTCGCGATTTTTCCGCCTGCCCGCGCTTTCATCCGACTGCCCCGCCTTCGGCTGCATCAGCATTACCCCCCCAAAAATCGGTCAAGATGTTGAAGATTTGGTCGATGGTCAGCTCGCCTTCAAAACCCTGCCGGACAAGCTCCATACTGACTGTTTCCTAGAAAAAAGAGCAGCAGAAGGCTGAAAATGCCGACGCTGCTGGCGGAAAGAAGAAGAAGGTGACGGCCGCCCAACTACGAGTGCAAAAGGGTCAGACTGTATCACGAACAAGCCGACGACATTCTCGCTAACACGGATGGCATATAGACCTGTCGGAACTTTCCCTCGGCTCTACGATGAAGACAGACTTTCCTGATCCCGACGACATCCTCCACTTCACGTTGACCATCGAGCCCGACGAGGGCATGTACCGCACCGGACGTTTTACTTTCAGTTTCGACATCAACCAAAATTTCCCCCACGAGCCGCCAAAGGTCCGCTGCAAGGAGAAGATCTACCACCCCAACATCGATCTCGAGGGCAAGGTCTGCCTGAACATTCTGCGCGAGGACTGGAAGCCGGTGCTGAACTTGAATGCCGTTATTGTCGGCCTACAGGTATGTCGGATCAGCCACGGCTGCCCCGGGTTGAACTCGTCGACTAACCGGTGCTCCTTTGCAGTTTCTTTTCCTCGAACCCAATGCCTCCGACCCGCTGAACAAGGAAGCTGCAGAGGACCTCAGACTGAACCGCGAAGGATTCAAGCGCAACGTTCGGACGGCGATGGGCGGTGGCACCGTCAAGGGAGTGAGCTACGACCGTGTGTTGAAATAGGACGGCCATCTGCAAATAGATTTTCGGCCTTCCTGGAAATAGGCCAGCCGGACTGAGTTCCTGGTCACCCAGGAACCGAGATATCGCGTTGATCACTCCAGCGGGGTATGGCGGGGTTCTAGGACGGACGGCATGCGCGCATTTGGGAGGTCGGTGGGCATCGCTATAGCATCATCGTCCGGCGTTCATGGATACAATATTACGGATATCAAGAAGGCGAACATTGGGCAAAGGCATCCTTTCAGTCTGGCTAGACAGGTTATTTGCGCAGATGGACTGAGAAGACCTGAGCAAGGCGCACGACGGGCGGGGGAGATGGAGACACTGATGCGAGCAGAGCAACGGTCACCAAGAGTTTGTGAAGCGGTTTTGAGAAACAGCCTAGAAGAATATCCGGAATGCAAAGAGCGTTGCTATGTTACGAGGGTAAACTCAACAGACCAATCACGGATGCGTGTGCCTTTCGTAAAGAAGCAATCAAGCAGAAGGAGTCACAGCTCTGTCGGAGCTTGCCTTCGAAAGAGGAGTCAAAGAAGGGCCGACGAAGCTAAACATAGGCCTCCGGCCGCGACCGCAGGCGTAGCTGGGGGCCGTAGCCGGCGATTTGGCTGTCGGTGAGGGGCCCGGAAACGGTCCATCGTGTGTGACTCTTCGCTGATGGTTGGGCTACGAGGTCGGCGGGGTGGGCTCGCTGGTCCACAGAACCCGCCTCGCCGGCAATAACGTTGATTGCTCCCCGAGGTCTTAGGTAAGGCCGCTGTCAAGTAGGAACTGCTTCAAGTCCAGACCAGGTAGAGGCTACCCCGACCTCGCAGCAAAGTCCCTGCTTTCTCCAAACGACGCCCAAGTCCCCAGTACCCGCCCTCCCACTTGACGGGCCCCTGCGGCACCGTACCGAACCCCGGACGCTTCAGAAGGCTTCCCCACCATGGACACACAAGAGCACAGGCCAGACGACGCAGGCTAACCCACCAACGAGGCAAGCTGGGCCGAAGTCGGGGGTCAGCTCGCCCGTCTCTAATCCAGTAAAAAATTTCCCAATTCCAAACGCCTTTTTCCATCGGTGAACTCTGTCTTTTCTCATCATTCCGTCCTCCTCTTCTTTTCTCCTTCCTTACAATTGAATTGTACGGATACCCTCTCCACTCCCCTTCCCTCCCCCAAAACCAGTTCACAATGGCCTCCCGCGGTTTCTCCAAGGCTCTTCGCCCCATGGCTCGCCAGTTGGCGGCCAAGCCTGCTACCCAGCAGCGCACCTTCGTTGCTGCCCGCAGCCTGGTTCGCGCCTCTGCTCAGGTCTCCAAGGCCTTCGCCGGCCAGCAGCAGACCCGTGGTGTCAAGACCATGGACTTCGCCGGCCACAAGGAGGACGTCTACGGTAAGAGAGAGACGAGCCCAAGAATTGACCCCGCAATGACTCGCGAGAGATTGCTGACTTTCACGCCACAGAGCGTGCCGACTGGCCCCAGGAGAAGCTCTTGGTGAGTCACATTTGAGCATCTTGGGAGGAATCCAAAGCAATTGGAGCTAACAGAGACCTGCAGGAGTACTTCAAGAACGACACCCTCGCCCTCATCGGCTACGGCTCCCAGGGCCACGGCCAGGGTCTTAACCTCCGTGACAACGGCCTCAACGTCATTGTTGGTGTCCGCAAGAACGGCCAGTCCTGGAAGGACGCCCAGCAGGACGGCTGGGTCCCCGGCAAGAACCTCTTCGATGTCGATGAGGCCATCTCCCGCGGTACCATCGTCATGAACCTCCTCTCCGACGCCGCTCAGTCCGAGACCTGGCCCGCTATCAAGCCCCAGCTCGTCAAGGGCAAGGTACGTGAACTTTGGGGTGCAATTGGCAGCTCAATTGGGCAGAACTGACCTTCATAGACCCTCTACTTCTCCCACGGCTTCTCTCCCGTCTTCAAGGATGTCACCAACGTCGACGTCCCCAAGGACATTGACGTCATCCTCGTCGCCCCCAAGGGCTCTGGCCGCACCGTCCGCTCCCTCTTCCGTGAGGGCCGTGGCATCAACTCCTCCTTCGCCGTCTTCCAGGACGTTACCGGCAAGGCCAAGGAGAAGGCCCAGGCTCTCGGTGTCGCCATCGGCTCCGGCTACCTCTACGAGACCACCTTCGAGAAGGAGGTCTACTCCGACCTGTACGGCGAGCGTGGCTGCCTCATGGGTGGTATCCACGGCATGTTCCTTGCCCAGTACGAGGTCCTCCGTGAGCGCGGCCACTCCCCCAGCGAGGCCTTCAACGAGACCGTCGAGGAGGCTACCCAGTCTCTGTACCCCCTGATCGGTGCCAACGGCATGGACTGGATGTACGAGGCCTGCTCCACCACCGCCCGCCGCGGTGCCATCGACTGGACCCCCAAGTTCAAGGACGCCCTCAAGCCCGTCTTCAACTCCCTGTACGACGCCGTCAAGGATGGCTCCGAGACCAAGCGCTCCCTGGAGTACAACGGCCAGAAGGACTACCGCCAGAAGTTCGAGGCTGAGATGGAGGAGATCCGCAACCTGGAGATCTGGAGAGCCGGCAGAGCCGTCCGGTACGTGCCCACCCCTCCTCCCCCCCACTTATCAACGCACTAGAGTTCACCTAGCTAACATTTTGTCCCTCACAGCTCTCTGCGTCCCGAGAACCAGAAGTAAATGGTTCAACGTTGATGTCTTCAAACAAAAATTTATGAGCGGGGAAAAAACATTTACTCGGAACGGCCATTTCCTAACCACTGTCTTGGGGAGACGGGGGGACTTTTGTACTTATAACACCGGATTCTAGGTGGATCTGGTGAGGCCTGGTTCAAAAGTTTGCATCTTGGACGTTGGGATCCTTCAATACCATTTCTTTTACTGTCAACAGTCATTTGACAACGTCCCGTTCCTGCCTTCGACAAATGTGCAATTGTGCGTGTGTGCGTGACGGCGGCGTCTGTGCCCGGCCGGACGTCGTAGGACCCTGCATGGGACCGAAATGACTCGTCCGCCTTTCGCTAGCGTTATCTTCGCGGATTGCGACACTGCGACCTCATTTGACACCCCCATGCTTCCGCTACCTCTTGGGGTTTTGACTGTTTAATCCGTCGAAGGTTTGCGGACGAGTTCCGTGGTGTTGTCGGCGTTTGACATGTGCGTCGGAGGCCTTTGACCGTTCATGAGCAGGCAGCGCTCCGGAGCTGGCCCCGGTGCGTATATGAAATATTGAGATTGCCCTCATGCGCCGACCGATTTGACTTTTGCGACGGGGGTTCCGAGCTAGACTACGGCGGCCCTACGAAAGATTTGGTGCTCCTGGTCCGACGGTGTGGAAATTGGCACTGCCGTTGGCCGTTTGGCTTTTGCAACTACTCTGGAAAAGGTGCAGCTACCGTTGGGCAAAGTTGAGACATCAAGCTGGCTATAATGTCACTTCCAAATGCCCCAAATTGAAGGTTGTTTCTCAGTGTTTCGACTTCTGAATACCGGGTATTCCCGTTATGGCCAGACTTCAAGACACTGGGAGAGGCGTTGCCCACAGAAACGATCGGCAAGGATAGCGCCACGATGGCGCTGACGCGTTAAGCCCTGGGGCACGCGACGGGCGTCTGCTCAGACATTCGAAACGGTCCCTCATCTTGCTTCAGTTCATGGAAAGCGATTGAGACCAGATATCAATCGCAGGATGTGCCTTTCTATCGTGATGCCCTCGCCCTGAAACAAAACGCTCACCTTAAACTCAACGTCGTTGACCTCGGTGTGTCGGTGTAGGATTTTGCCGTACCTGTAGCGACAGAGAGCCCAGCGCCCCACCCCTTTGTCTGTGCATTCTCTGTCTCCCGGTAGTCGTTGCTCTGTCAACAGCAAACAAGCCCAGGGCCCCTTCCCACCCCCTTCATCTCACAAGCGAGCCCAAAATGGCTTTTGCTCGGTATTCCATCGAAATATCAATCAATTGACGATTGCTCTACTAGTCTCTCCCGAAAGCTCTCCGCGCGGAAAGAAAGAACCAAGAAACCGCCCACGCAAACCTAATCTCTACTGGCAGTTTGCGCACCATGACGCCGCTGTCCCCAGCAAAGGAATCCAGACTCAACGTTACCACGTCCCCTACTGAACAAGAAGGAAACCGCGGTTCCTTTGAGCAACACCGCTACGAGGTCCACTCCCGCACTGAGACAACCGCAAACGGTGGTGATGGTAGTAGCGATAACACCACCACCACTACGACGACGACTACTGCTATCACCTCTACAAACGACACCGAGAACATGCCGCCCTCTCCCTCAGATTCCTCCCCGTCGCCGCCGCCCTCTGCGCCGGCGACGGCACTCAAGAACCAGCGCCACTCTCGCGTAATGTCTGGCACCGCGCCCTCGCCGCTCAAGATACTCGCCGGTGCCGAGACAACGGAAAAGCAAGCACGGAGCCCGCTGCGCAAGACACTCATCTCCCCAGACAAACGCTTCCCCATCAGGGTCAGCAACCCGTCTTCCGTCGAGTCGCCTCGCTCCGTCTCCGTCTCCTCAAACTCTCCACCACGCGAGCGCACCATGAGCCTCGAGGACGCAATGCGCGACAACGACGGCCTGAAGCATGCCATTGAGATCTTTGAGGACGACGAGACCACTGGCATGGAGACGGACGATAACACCGCCGACGAGACGTCCAGCACCATCGCCGAGCCCGTCACCGACCACCACACCGACATGGCCCACGGCTACGAGGACCAGAGCAGTCTGGCCCCTGACGAGACCATGATGAGCACCTTCAGCACCTTCTCCGCCGTCCCCAACCTGACCACCTTTGCGAAGCTTGGTCTCACCCCGCAAAAGTATGGCGGTATGACCCCGCGAGGCAGACCCGAGACCGTGCACGAGCAGACTCCGCGACACCAACTGGCGCAGGAGGGCAACACCACAAACCTGCTCGACTTCACCGACAGCCAGAGGTTTCCCCACAAGTCGCCCTCCCGGCGGGGGACCACGTCGCCGTCCAGGGGCAACCCCAACGCCGCCACTCCCG